TTTGGGGGCCGTGCGGCCGAGCCGCTCACCGGAGGCTCCTTTTGCAGGGTGCTACCACGGCACGAAGCGCCGGAACGAGCTGGGTGTCGGCGTCGGGATGAAACGAATCATGCCCTGAAAGTACCGGCTTCTTCACGTTGGCTGCAAAGGGAGCCTGGGTGGTGGCTCTGGCGTGAGGTTGGGTAGGATGAACCATGCAGCCAGATTCTGCTTCGAGCAGGATGATCAGATAAGGTGTTCAGAAGGCACCTAGGTCAGGAATGTCGGTTTTCCTGGGCTGGGCATTAATCTAGCATGTCGAGCAGCAGCGCCAGCTTAATGCTTCTCCTGCATTAAACCAGCGTAACGTGGAGCACGCGGCGGGGTGGCTGCAGTGGCCCAGGCAAGCGTCGCGGTGGCAGAAGGCTCGGTGCTGTGGTGGCACAGCCCTGGCCCTGGGTGGCAGCTTTCTCGCCGTGCCTCCTCGCTGATTTGACGTGGGGTCTCTTGCCAGCGGCCTTCAGCGTTCTCCCCTTTCTCTCCTTACAGCTCCTGCCTTGCCCAGCACAGTTCGCCAGCGCCTGGTGGACCCACAGCACGCCCACGGATCTCAGAGGTTGGTAGAGAGTTATGTGCAAGGCCAGAATGAGTCGGGCCAAGCTGCCCACTACCGGGCGGGCAGAGTCTCCCTCCGTCGAATGCACAGCCTCTCCTCTGGACAGTCGTTCAGTTCCGAGCTTCCCGGCACCACCAGCCCATCGCCTGCTGCCACCGCCACCTCTTCCACCTCTTGCTCCTCATCCACCACCACTGCATCTGCTCCTGCTTGCCATGTCCACCCTATCTGTTACCATCACACCACCTCCTCTTATTTCCTTCAGATGGACTCCATCCCCGATCTGCCCCCTCCTGATGTCACCTCTGGAGTTCGCTGTCGCACTGAGAGCTTTGGGTATATCGCTGTTTCTTTTCTAGCTCCCCCCTGCCTGCTGTGTCTCGGAGCTGACGCTTGCTCGGGCGCTCCTCCTCCTCGATTCCTCTGCCTTTGCCTTTTGGGCCTTTGTTTCATTTTTTTATCCACACGTTTGTTTCTTCAACCGCTCTCCCGTGCCAGCCAGCTCTGTGGGTGCCCAAACCAGGGAGGTGCTGCTGTCTACCTGGCACTAAGCACGTGAGAGCTCCGGGGCGCTGGGTTATCGCTAAGTGAGTCGGGCTTTCCCTTGGGTGCCGCACCCGGGAGCACAAAGGTGACACGACGACTCAAACGCTGACCTTATGCGAAGCCCTGGCTTACCTGGGGTCTTCCCGAGCGGCTCGCAAAGGCAGCGCGGTGGGCAGGTGCTGGGAGAGAGAGGAGGGTTTGACGTTTGCGCTGGTTTTAGGAGGTGGCAAAAAGGGGCGTTCAGGGATTTTGTGACTCCCTACCCCTGTTCTGGTGGGGGAGGAGGCACGGCTGCGCTCTGGCTAAGGAACGTCTGAATAACGAGGAGGGACTGGGGCTTCTTGCTGCTGGATCGCTGGCTTTGCCTTGGTCCCTTTCAGAGGTAACGGCCGGCAAGCGGCGGCTCTGGGGAGACCTGCGTGCGATAGGATCCGGGGGGCTGGTTATTGTCCACATCCCTAAATCCCTGACCTCTCCTCATTCCCCACACTGGTGTTAGAGAGGCGAAGGACTGGGGGGGGATATGGATGTGGGAATCCTGCCCGGTCTACCTGGGGTGCTGCGCGGGGGCCTCCGGCAGGCGTCCCGAGCTCAGGAATGTTCCGTACCCCGGGCAGAGAGGGGATCGCGTGCCTTGGGCGGCCCCGGGGGGCTTCCTTCTGCAGAGGTCCGTG